ACATCAATAAGGCAGCAAGCTGCCCCAGGGATGACCGGTGGAGAGACTAAACCCCAGGGCCCAGTATGCTCCTCCTGGGCAGTGAGCAGGCCAGCCACCCCCACAGCACAGCGGGCCGGTGCCGGAGTCATGTCTGCCGAGGTCTTGACCCACAGCCGCACTGCGTCCAGTCACAGCCCCACAGGGCCCATCCTGGGTGGGACATGCCGAGTGTGAGAGGCTCCAGTTAGGTCCTTCTGCCTGGTCCCAGCCAGGACAGGCTCTGCCCTGGCCAGTTTGGAAGAGCACGCTCTCTCCTCCACTGGGCTAGAAGATACTTGGGGTGATTTGGCGGCCGTGGGCTGGAAGGCTGGGCACAGACTGGGAATGAGAGAGAAAGGAGCCTGTTTGCTTCATCGGGGAGGATATAAAGGAAATGAAGCTGGACATGTAAGTGAGCCAGATCTTGAGGCTGAGGTGTTGGAGTTTACCCTGAGGCCGAGGGAGAAGCCATAGAAGGTTCTTGGGAGGGGGAGCACATGAGACATCCAATGTGTCTGAGCTCCTCTCACACCAGGAGGCTGTGGTCTGAGTCAGGATGAGTCTAGGACCTGCTCCCCAAGGGACTGTGGGACTGGGAGGAGCAGGGAAGCTGGGAGAATGTCCAAGTGGAGGGGAACGGCGAAGAGATGCGAAGGAGACGCTCTCTGATCCCCACGCACTCAGAGCCACTCATTCCACGTTGCCAGTATGCCGGAGTCACTGTGCACCTGTCCAGCACAGAGATGGTGTCATCGTGAGGAAATGGAGGGTCAGAGAAGTTGAGAGACTTGCATGAGGTCACATAGTGAGAAGGTGGCCTGGTTCAGAGCCACACCCTTAACCCCTGTATTCCACTGTCAGATGGGGCGCCCCAGACCTCCTGTGGAGCTGGCTCGGTGGGGCCTGTCCCACCTGCACCTCATCTGACTTCAGGTCCCGCCCTGAGTCAAGATGGTAGTGAGACGGGAGAGCCCCTGGGCCAGCCGGGCTGGGCCGCCACGGTCTGACGCGGCCCCGGGGCCTTTCCCCTAGCTATGGAGACCAGGTGCAGCACTTCAAGGTGCTGCGCGAGGCCTCGGGGAAGTACTTCCTATGGGAGGAGAAGTTCAACTCCCTCAACGAGCTGGTCGACTTCTACCGCACCACCACCATCGCCAAGAAGCGGCAGATCTTCCTGCGAGACGAGGAGCCCCTGCTTAAGGTAGGGGCGGGTGGGGGCTGGCCCGCCGGAGCCTCTCTGCATCTCCTGCCTTCTGGAGCAGGGGAGACGCTGATGCCGAGGCCAAGCACAGGCCTGGCCTCCCTTTTCCAGCAGTCTGGTATTACAGGAGGGGTCCGGCCCAGGCTTCGAAGGTATATCCTGGTGGTGGCTGGGGTGAGAGTCGCAAGGGTGGGAAAGACGAAGAGGGAAAGAAAAGCAGAGGACAGAAAGAAAATCCCATGGGGACAAACCGTCTAGCTTGTTCTCAGCTCCTAGAATAGTGTGTGGCGCACAGTAGGTGCTCAATAAATGTTCATTGAGTGAAGGAAGGCACAGACCCCTGCTGAACCTACTGGGTACCACACACTGAGTGAGTCTCTGTAGTCTGGGAGTCTCATCGTGCCCATTGTACAGATGAGGAAACTGAGGCTCAGAGAGTGCATGACTCATCCAAGGACACCTACCTGGTAAGCTTAGTCCTGGTTTCTGCTTCCAGAAGAGTTGACTTTGGGTGTGCGGCAGCTCAGTGCTCGTGGGCGGCTGGCCACTGGGTGAGGAGTGGGGGTCATCAACCCCTGGACCTCACAATTAACAGCAATTTGCCAGACAGCCCTTTCATCAAATGGCCCCAAGGGCCAGCTCCTAAGCTGATTAGGATGCCGACAAGAGCCACTGGGGTTAATAGCCCAATAGGCTGTTTTCTTCAGGAGCAGGGATATTGGCAAGGCCTAGGGCTGGAGGTCATGACCCTGGGACATTTGAACTTGGGCTCTGCAGAGGATATGGGGAGTGTGATCAAGGCCTGGTGGAAGGCTGATAATCACGGCAGAGAAGCTCCAGCCACGTCCTGTTCCCAGCACCTCCCTGCCACCTTTCCACGTGATCAGAGGCCAGTTCATCCCCTCAGTTTCCCCTCTGTTTATTTATTTTTTTATTTTTTTTATTTTTTTTGAGACGGAGTTTCGCTCTTGTTACCCGGGCTGGAGTGCACGATCTCGGCTCACCGCAACCTCCGCCTCCCGGGTTCAGGCAATTCTCCTGCCTCAGCCTCCTGAGTAGCTGGGATCACAGGCACGTGCCACCATGCCCAGCTAAATTTTTTGTATTTTTAGTAGAGACGGGGTTTCACCATGTTGACCAGGCTGGTCTCGATCTCTTGACCTCGTGATCCACCCACCTCGGCCTCCCAAAGTGCTGGGATTACAGGCTTGAGCCACCGCGCCCGGCCTCCCCTCTGTTTAATAGGATGAGCCCTGGGGTATGATATGCCAGGAAAGTCAAACAGTGCCTTCCTTGCAAGACCCTTAGTAGCCCCTCCTCTGTTGGCCTTCCCTGCCCGACCCTGAGTGCCCAGGTTGCTGTGAGCTGCCAGTCTCAGGCGCTTCTTCTCCCCAGTGGCCCCTGTCTGCCAGATCTCCGTCCTCTTCCCTGTTAACCGCCTGGGCCAGCTCTGCTCAGAAAATGCGAGGGAGCCAGGATGGAGCTGGGGTGGGGGTGACTGAGCACTCCCCTGCACCCACCACCTCGCTCTGGCCCGGGCCCTGGGGTCCCGCACCCTGTGGCGTGACTCCAGAGCTGCCTCAGTCCCCTGGGACCCATGACACCTCCTCCTTCCTGGGCAGAGAGCTGCTAATTACAGCCTCTCTGCTGATCCTATCACTTGTCCTGGATGAGATTCTGCAGGTTCAGAGCTGAGATCCTGGTGGGCAGGCAGCACCAGGGTGCTTGGTGCAATAGTCACGGCGCCGGGCAGGCGTGCTGCAGAGCGCTCCTGTCTAGTTGCTATGCACAGGTGGGGAAACTGAGTTCCACAAAGGGCAGGGACCTACACATGGGGCACATGGGGCATAGATGGGACCGGAACCCCAGCCTGAGAGCTCAGAGTGACAGTTCTCTCCCTCAGTGGCTGTTAGCAGCACACCACCACTTTACAGTTTATGAGGCCCACTCTCATGGCTTTGTGGCCTGGAGTCTAAAGCTATCATGGCTTCTGCAGAGTCAGGGAAATAAGACCTCAAGAGAAGCAGGGACCCAACCAAAACCCACCCTAAGGACCAGGACTCAGGTCCCCTGACCCACCAGCCCTATGGTCCCAGCTGGGCGGCTGGGAAAGCTGTGTTCTATGTAGATGCAGCATCTGCACAGCAGACAGGCAGGGGTGTGGACAGCAGGAGGCCCAGGGGTGGCACAGCCACTGATCTGGATTTAAAGTTCAATTGCAGTGCTGCCCTGAGACCCCTCCCTGCCTGTGGCAAATCAGTTCTCTCGGGCACCTCCAAGGGAGGGCAGGTGGCAGGGCTTCTGAAGGCACCCTACTAACCACTTCCTCCTCTTGCAGTCACCTGGGGCCTGCTTTGCCCAGGCCCAGTTTGACTTCTTGGCCCAGGATCCCTCACAGCTCAGCTTCCGCCGTGGTGACATCATTGAGGTCCTGGAGCGACCAGACCCCCACTGGTGGCAGGGCCGGTCCTGCGGACGCGTTGGCTATTTCCCACGGAGTTATGTGCAGCCTGTGCACCTGTGAGCAGCCAGGCAGCTAATCTGGCCAATGGGCCATTTTCTAGGAACTGAGGTCCAGAGAGGACATGGACACCCCCAGCCTGCTCAAACAGTCACAAGGGGCTCAGTGGAAGGCCTTGGATTGAACGTGGGCCCCTAACTGCCTCCTGCCGCTTCACACAAACTGGGATGGCCCAGGTCCCCCAGCAAGGGGTACCTAGCAAGGGTGGCTCCGGGGCTTCCCGGCTGGTTGCTTCCCATTGGCTGCCAGCTGTCTGACACCGCAGGGCGGAGTCTGTGGAGGCCCCACCCACCTCTTCCTGTCCATGGAAGGCTGAGGACTCCCAGGTTTCACCCACTGGAGGCTCAACCTGAGGAACGCTGGGCGTGGTGGGTGGGTTCGCCTTGGGCTGACCACCGCCTGGGCCTGCCTGCCCCTCCCTCAAAAGGCCCTTCAAGTTGTGAGGGCTGTTGGGAGGTGGCACAGCCTCGAAGGACACACTGCACAGCTGTTGACCTAAACTCACTGGGCTGACTCCAGGTGGACACCAACTCCTCAACAGCCTCATGATTTCAGCTCCGCTCGGGGTACTGAGCACCCCGCCCCACCGCAGGGGGAGAGGCCCTGAGAGCCCGAGGAGGGGGCGGGCAGTGGGGATGGTGGAGGCACGCCCTTCTGTTGGACAGATGAACCCTAGAGCCAAGCCTTGGGCCCAGCCACGTGGAGACCCTGGCTGCCCTCCCTCTTGTTCGTCTGGGCCCAGGTTCTGCCCGGACAAGCTCTCAGGAGGCTGAGAAACCTACAGGCCAGACAGAAAGTTGGGGCCAGAGCTGGGTTTTAGAGGTTCTAAAGGATCCTGAATGGGGGAGCTGCCCAGGGGGGGCATGGCCCCTACCTGAGAATGGGAGGGTCCTCCAGAGAATGTGCCACTGTCAGGGGTATGCAGGGCCTGCCCAGAACCTGGGCAGCTTTGGGAGTGGGAAAAGTCAGGTGGGACTTGGAAAGGCTTTGAACACCAGGCCGATGGTGGAGGGGACGGTGGGCAGGGAGGGAGGGTGAGGAGGCTCCCTCTGGCATTTGAGAGCAGGTGAGTGGAGGGAGGATTCCCTGGAGGAGGCTGCTGTCCCTTGGTGGAGGGCCTTGCTCTGGCCATGTGGGGCTCTTCCTCCATCCAGAGCTGGCCCAAGACCCTTAGAGCCCTGAGTGTTCGCAAATCTCACTGCTCCTGACCCGGCCTGTGTATTCAAAATGAAAGCAGTAAAATCAACATCAGGGTGTCCATCAGAAATCTAATTTTCTTTCCAATGATGACTGCTTTGATGCTATTTTTGAAATGTCACTTTCTTTTTTCCCATTTTCCCCCTGATTTTTCAGGGCTCCTGCTCTGCTGGCTTGGCTGGTTCTTGGGGACTGAGCCGTTGTGCAGCTGTGAGGAGAATCTGCCCCTCTCGGGGCCTTGGGGTCCCCATGAAGGAAAAGGGTGGACCTGAGGATTCAGGGCTCCCGCCTTCCTGCCTAGGGTGGCAGCATCAGGCAAAGTAGGCGTAGAAGAAGATGTTGACGCACATGAGGAGGATGGCATTGAAGCCACAGACACGGGCCCAGAAAGCGTATTTCTGGGGCGTTTGGCCATCACCTGGAGGGGGTTGCAGAAGGAGAGGGACAGATGAGGGACACAAGGCCACACCTGGTGCCCCTGCCTTCAGCCCCAGTGTCAAGGTGGAGGAATGCCTAGGGTCACCCACTTACCTGCTTTGGTTACCAACGGCAGGTCCCGAGCCAGGGTCCACCAGGTAAGGTTCTCCATCTGTAAGAAATGAGTGGGGATAGGGATGGAGGTGGGGGGGGGTGGCAGGGTGGGGGTGACCCACACAGGATCAAAGGTTGGGGATGGCAAGATGGCAGCTGAGTTCAAAAAGAGGTGGAGTGAGGGAGTCCAGGGCTAGAAAATTCGGAGTCAGAGAGGGTCAGGGACCAGACTGGGACTAGAGTAAGAAATTGTTGGGGGTCAGAGTCAGGGGTCAGGCCCGGCTCACCTGACCACCCTGTGGGGGTGGGGTCAGCAGGCTTCCGACCACCACCACAGCACCACTGAGTGTGAAGAGGGCGACCGCAAAGTGCAGGTAGTGCATGCTCCCCAGGATGGCCGGCCGCGTGTCTGGCTCTCCGCAGGGCGGGGCCGGGTTCAGGAATTCCAGGACCAGCCTCGCGGCCCCCACCACCAGCCCTGCTATCAGGCCCCAGAAGGCCCCCTGGGGAGGAGGGAGGCAGGGCATGTGGGGCTACCGGAGGAGGACCAAGGCTCCCCCTAGAGGCAGCAGAGGAGGACTGGAACAGACTGTAGCACGTCCCCAGGGAAACCTGTCCCCCGACACCACCCACCTGCTCGTTGGCACGTGGCCAAAAGATGCCCAGGACAAAGACTGCAGTCAGTGGGGGGGCCAGGGAGCTGGTCACTGACTGCATGTAGATGAAGAGCTGCCCGCTGTTGGAGCCCTGCAGGACGGGGATCCAGGCCACGCTCACACCGATCAGCGCCACTATGACCAGCCTGCGGGTGGGTGGAAGGCAGGCGGAGGTCAGCCTGGGAGGCGCTTCCTCAGCCCTCTCCCACCTCCCCTGGCACTAAGACCTGTGTTCTCATCTTTCCTCTGCTGCCCCAGCTCCAGCCTCCTCCCTGGCCTCTGGTTCATGCCACCAGTGAGCTGGCCAGTCCTGCCCTGCTCCAAACCCTTGGGCAGCTCCCTGCCTCCTGCAGGTGCAGCTCCTGACCCTCAGTGCTGTCTGCTCCTTCCCTGCCCTGGGCTCTCTGCGGAGCCAACCCTTGGAGCTCCGTGCTGGCCACCCAGCCTCTCCCTCTTGTCTCCTTCAAAGCACTTGCCCCAACCACTACAGGCAGATTTATCTGGTATCTACTTGTTTACTGCCTGCCTTCCCCTCCCCTCCCCTCCCTTCCCCTCCCTTCCCCTCCCCTGCACATTAGCTCCTGCCCGCTTCTCCCCAAGGCCCAGAGCCCCCTCCACAGCAGGCACGAGCTTCACTTGTTCATCCAACTGGTGAGGTGGCCCCTGCGTAGGACACTACCCGAGGATCTCCAACCGGGTGGAGTGGGACCTGGTGCCTGCCCGGCATTCAGAGCCCAGCGAAGAAAACAGATGAGCCTGTCACCTACACTCAGGGCTGGGCTGGAGCAGCCCAGAGGAAACATCAATCTAGGAGGGCTTCCAGGAGGAGGGGCCACCCCAGAGCCTTGAGGGGCATGGGACCCAGCTAAGGGGACAAAGCTGGGGCAAGGCATCCATCTGCTCTTCATCTCTGTATCCTGGGTCACAATTGGCATTCCTCACCCCCAAGGTGGGTGGTGAGTGACTCGCTGGAACCCTGGCCGTGGTGGCAGGGGTGACAGAGGCTATGTGTGAAGCTAGGGTGGGTCCTCCCCTCTCCTGTCTGCCTTCCTCCCTCCCTCTCTTCCCTTCTAGGCCTGAGGGAGAGGGTGGAGGAAGGAGGTGCCACCTTGATTAAGGCTAATTAAACCCTAGCCGGGCAGGCAGGCAGGCGCTGCCCTCATCAAAGGCCCAGGCGGGCCTCCATTAACGCCTGCCCACCCCGCCCTCCGCACACAGCTCCCCCACCCAACACCAGATGCTGCATCTCTGTGCCAAGGCCGGGGCCACTCTAGCCAGGCCCTCACCTTCTTACCCTGCTTTCTTACATGGCTGCCAGAGGACCCCCAAACCCAGAGGGTGCTCCTTCTGCCTGGAATGTCACCCCCTCCCACGCCACCATCAGGGTGGACAGTGCCCTCCAGCATCTCCCTGGGCTGCGGCCACCCTTACTGTGGAACCCCTCACGGAGGGGTGTCTGAGATCTCTCTGAGTCCCACACAGGGTTTCCAGGAGGCTGTGGGCCCCATTTGTGCAATGAACAACTGAGAACACAAACAGGAGAGTGGAGAGGGCAGTGACGGAACAGTGGGCCCAGAGGCAGGGTCATCGCTGGCCTCCAGTCTGTGATGTCTCTCCAGACTCCTCTCAGCTGGACAGCACCATCGCTGTCACCAGTATGGTCCTGCACCCGGCCCTCGATGGCCTCTCCAGGCCTCTGGGCTGTTGGTCTTCTCTCTGTAAGCCCTGCATCTCCCTGACCGAGGCCCTTGTGGGGCCATTTCACCCTGCCAGAGATCCGCGACCCACAGGGCCTAGGAGATGCTGCTCTGATGGTGGTGTTCAGGGCCGGGGGAGCTGAGACGGCTTTGAGGGGATAGGGGTGTTGAGGATATTCCAGTGCTGCAAGAGGGAGGGGAAGTCGAGCTGGCCAGCCTGACACCTGGCACGAGGCCCTTTCTGCTCTACCCAGCTGGCAGCTGAGAGAACTGGGGTCCAGAGAGGGTGAGCAACCTGCCCTGCAGCACACAGCCTTGTGCCCTGCTCCTCACGGAGGCTGAACGCCAAGCTCACAGGGCTGGCGGGTAGAGGGTTGACTTGGCAGAAGAGGTGGGAAGGAGGGTCAAGGGCATGGGTGTCTGGGTAGGTGAGCTGGCACAGCAGGAGGCCAGGTCAGGACTTCGGTTGCAGGTGGGAGCCTGGGTGAGGAGGCCAGGAAGTAGTTGGCGGGGGTCCCAAGGGCCACTGGGCAAGTACAGGGGCTACCAGTGTCCCAGGGCCAAGGCACACGCTGAGTGGCATAAGGGCATCCAGGTCCCAGTGCCCAGGATGCTGGAGCATGGAGGGGCTTGGAGCAAGGTCTGGCTGCAGAGGAGATGCACAGTCAGGGAGGGGCAGGGTCTTCTCCAGGCCACACAGCCACTGAGGAGAGGCAGGGGAGCCAGACGGGGAGAGGTGGTCAAGGGTCTGAGTGCGCAGGACACAAAGACATGGAAGTGTCCTGCGCTGTGAGAGGTGGGAGGCTCCTTGTTTTGAAGGAGCCATGAGCCTGTGGATGAGCTCACTCGCACCTGCCTCTGGCATGTCCCAACAAGGCCCTTCCGACAGAAGCCTGGCTGTTTTGCATCCCCAGGATGGCTGCCTGGAGCTCTGGAGCAGACCCCACCCCAGGATGGGTGCCCTGGGCTCCTGGCCAGGGGGTGCACTGTTGGTCAAGCTAAGTGCCAGAAGGCTGGACCCCTGACCAACAGAGTGTGGGCCACACTGCTCAGAGGACAACAGGAGGGCAGGACTGGAGACGTGGGGAGGGCACAAATAGACACATGCACATGGGAGCTAATCTCCGAGGATGTAAAGGTATGAGTGACAGAATGTGCTGGGGATGGTAGCTCGCGCTTGTGAGCACTTCGGGAGGCCAAGGTGGGCGGATCACCTGAAGTCAGGAGTTTGAGACCAGCCTGGCCAATATGGTAAAACTCTGTTTTTACTAAAAATACAAAAAGCACCTGGGCATGGTGGCACCCACCTGTCACCCCAGCTACTCAAGAGGCTGTGGCATGAGAATCGCTTGAACCTGGGAGGCAGAGGTTACAGTGAGCCAAGATCACGCCACTGTACTCTAGCCTCCGCGACAGACCAAGACTCTGTCTCAAGAAGAAAAAAAAAAAGAATGATACAATGGACTTTGGAGACTCAGGGGAAAGGGTGGGAGGGTGTGAGGGATAAAAGACAATACAGGCTGGGCGCAGTGGCTCATGCTTGTAATCCCAGCACTTTGGGAGGCCAAGGTGGGTGGATCACGAGGTCAAGAGATCGAGACCATCCTGGTTAACATGGTGAGACCCCGTCTCTACTAAAATGCAAAAATTAGCTGGGCATGGTGGCGCGTGCCTGTAATCCCAGCTACTCAGGAGGCTGAGGCAGGAGAATTGCCTGAACCCAGGAGGTGGAGGTTGCGATGAGCCGAGATCGCGCCATTGCACTCCAGCCTGGGTAACAAGAGCGAAACTCTGTCTCAAAAAAAAAAAAAAAAAAAAAGACAATACATTGGGCTGGGTGTGGTGGGTCACGCCTGTAATCCCAGCACTTTGGGAGGCTGAGGTGGGCAGATCACCTGAGGTCAGGAGTTCCAGACCAGTCTGGCCAACATGGTGAAACCCTGTCTCTACTAAAAAAAAAAAAAATACAAAAATTACCTGGGTGTGGTGTTGGGCGCCTGTAATCCCAACTACTCAGGAGGCTGAGGCAGGGAATTGCTTGAACCCGGGAGGTGGAGGTTGCAGTGAGCCAATATCGCGCTACTGCAGTCTATCCTGGGAGACAGAGGAGACTGAGTCTCAAAAAAATAAAAGACTACACATGGGGTACAGTGTACACTGCTCAGGCGGGGCGTGCACCAAAATCTCAGAAATCACCACCAAAGAACTTATTCATGTAACCAAACACCACCTGCTCCCCAGACACAGCCCCTGTCCTCTTGAAGCACTCACACATGTGCAGAAGGGTGTTGGGGAGACCTCCTGGCCTGTAATGGCCACATGTACAGTGGGAAGAATCTGGCAAGAGTCCCTGGGGTATGGAGGGGAGAGGGCTCACTCTTTGAGGGTCTCAGGGAGGACTGCACGGAGAAGGGTGACACAGGCAGAGTGTAGACAGATCAGCATGAGTCATCCAGGTGAAAAGGGAGGGGACAAGCCGGGCTGGGAGGAAACAGACCGGAGCTCAGTGGGGCCAGGGCCACGGAGGCTGAGGGATGTGGCAGCCGAAGTGTGGCCTGTCCTGAGTGCTGGCCTGGGGGCCCTCTGTGGGGCAGCGGGGAACCATCAGGAGGGCTCGGGGCCCAGTTTTGTGGGAGACAGAGCGATCTGTAGCGTGGCTGAGGAGGGGAGGGCTGGCCCTGCAGAGGGAATCTCAGTCGGGGCAGAGACACATCCCAGATGAGGCTGCCGTCACACAGAAGTGGACAGGAAAGCAATGTGAGAGGTGTGTGGATGGGGTACACTGGGCCCTTCTCCTCCCTCCTTCCTGGCATCCACCTTTCTCTCTTTTTTTTTGAGAAGAAGCCTCACTCTGTCACCAGGCTGGAGTGCAGTGGCGTGATCTCGGCTCACTGCAACCTCCACCTCCCGGGATCAAGCGATTCTCCTGCCTCAGCCTCCCAAGTAGCTGGGACTACAGGTGTGGCCACCATGCCCAGCTAATTTCTATATTTTTAGTAGGGACAGAGTTTCACCATGTCGGCTAGGATGGTCTCCATCTCTTGACCTGATGATCTTCATGCCTCGGTCTCCCAAAGTGCTGGGATTACAGGGGTGAGCCACCACGCCCGGCCCTGGCATCCACCTTTCTCTTAGTGGCAAACTCCCACTTGTCCCTCAAAGTCAGTACCGGCGTCACCCCGTACCGGCCCACCAGCAGAAGCTCCCTCTCCCCGGAGCGGGGCCGCAGCCGCCTCCAGATGTCCATGGTGAAGAGCGTGCTGCTGCTGTTGAAGATGGAGGTCAGCGAGGACACCAGCGCGGCCAGCATCACTGCGATCATCAGCCCCCGCAGACCTGGGGTGGGACGGAGGAGGCGTGACCCTGCCCGGCCTTGCCAAGGGCCGGGAGCCCCTCCCACCTGGGCTCTTCTGTCTGAGGCTCCCCCACCATTCACGTGCCCCTGCGGGCAGAGGGCCAGGAAGGAGAGAGGCTGAGGAGGGTGGTGGTGAGCAAGACCCCAAAAGAGGAGCCTGGGGAGGCCAAAGACAAACTGTGGGGCCTTCAGAGCTGGCTGCTGGCGCCTACGGCTCGCTGGCAACCCCAGGCCGAACCGTAATGACTCATATTGCTGAGGCTGCGATCAGGCCTCTCCTTTCTGCAGAGCCCGGCGTTGACAAAGCACTTTCACACCCATGCCTTCGTCCGGGGAAAGCATGATTAACTCGCCTGACAGATGAGGAAATGGAAGCTCGGAGAGGGGAAGAGATGGCCCAGGGACTCGCAGGAGGCCGGCGGCAGGGCTTTGGGGTGCAGTGGGATGGGAGGGGAAGGCGAAGGCGGGACTTCTGCTTGGAGGTCACCCCCTGGGCCAGATGCACAGCTCACCCCAGCATGCCGTGGCCCAGGCTCTGGAATTTTCCGCCCAGTCTCGTGCATGGCAGGACCCAGCAGGCATAGTGGATCCCTCTCTCCTTGGCCCTGTGGTTCTCCAGAATGGGAGTGAGGGCTCCCCTGGGCAGTTCGGGGAGCATTGCTGTGCATGGCCTTCTGGGCGTTGTGGCCTCAGGAAGGCCTGAGGGTGGGGAGCCCTAAAGAAGGTGGAAGGTTGCCCGCCCACCCACTCCGTGCTGTGTGGCTTCAGACTGGTCACCTCCCCTCTCTGGGGATTAGTCCAAGTCCGTCTCTAAGGACCTTTGCAATTTTAAGTACTTCCTTGACCTCCATAAACTTTGCCCATCTGTCCCAGGATAAGCCTGACACAGGCCCCCCTGCCCCGAAGGCACAGCCATTTATTGCCTGGCTGGGTTCTGCGACTGGCCTCAGTTCTGCCTCTGATTTGCTGTGTGTCTTCCAGGCATCTCTGGGCCCTCTGTTCACTTGTCAGAAGCTGACTGGGATGGAGCCCAAAGGAAAGTGAGTGGAACCACGGTTTTCCCCAAAACGTTGCTCCACCCCCCTGTGTTGCTCATGGAGTTGGATTAACTTGGGGCTTATTCCATCCACTTCTCCGAGAGGAATTCAAAGCCTAGAGAGGGACTGCAGCCCAGCAATGGCTCCATGTCAGTCCTGGGGGCTTAGCGAGTGCCCGTGCTCAGAACAGAAGAGCAGAGCGAAACCCCAAGGTGGAACCATGGCGTGGCCAAGCCTGCACCAGGCATACTCCTTATGTCATTATGTTTAATCCCAGCAACAACGCTGAGGGTGGCTAGATGCCATTATCTCCAATTTACAAATGAGGACACCCAGGCTCCAAGCAGGGAAGTGGCATGCCCCAAATATCTTGGCCAGCGAGTGGCAGAGCCAAGATCTGATCCCCGGTCTGTGCCCTCACTTCCCTTGGGCCTGAGCTCTTTGGGAGGGAGGGAGGGAGGAGAAAAGAGCAGGTGGGACTCACCTCAGGGACCAAAAGCTTTCAGGAAGAGAGGATTAGTGGGAGGGGGTCAGCGAGAGGGGACCAGGGAAAGCTCCAGCACCTAAAAATCTGTAGAGGAAAGGCTCAGGCTGCAAGGGCTCAGGAAACTTTCCTCTTTTTGCTTAGGGTCTGACCTCTCACACCCCTTGCTATGTTGCTTTTATTTGCATACCTCCTGTGATGGGGAACTCATCACTTCACATTAGAATGGCAGGGATGCTACCACCACGAGAAACATGAAAAAAGCCAAACTTGCCCCCTAGTTCTCTCCCTGTTGGCTTGCAGTGTTTCAGGGTGGGGAGGTGGTGCAGAGTATAGACACTGATGCCTGCAGATGTAGGGGAGTGGGCATTCCTGAGTGCCTGATCCTAGCAGAGTAAGCAGTTTGTGTCTTGGGTTTGTGTCGCAGTCACTATATAACCTCAGACAAGTCACTGTCTCTCTCTGCCTCAGTTTCCCCATCTGTAAAATGGAGCCAATAACCCTATCTCATAGCACTTAATGAGAAACTATTAGTAAAGTGCCTGGCACCCAGTAGGCATATAAGAAGAGAGAATCGGCCGGGCGCGGTGGCTCAAGCCTATAATCCCAGCACTTTGGGAGGCCGAGGCGGGTGGATCACGAGGTCAAGAGATCGAGACCATCCTGGTCAACACGGTGAAACCCCGTCTCTACTAAAAATACAAAACATTAGCTGGGCATGGTGGCACGTGCCTGTAATCCCAGCTACTCAGGAGGCTGAGGCAGGAGAATTGCCTGAACCCAGGAGGCGGAGGTTGTGGTGAGCCGAGATCGCGCCATTGCACTCCAGCCTGGGTAACAAGAGCGAAACTCCGTCTCAAAAAAAAAAAAAGAAGAGAGAATGGGTGGCCTTTCTCAAGAGATGGCACTGCACAAGATAGGAGGCTGGGATGTGCAGGCAGATGCATCGGGTTAGAATCCGGCTTCGCAGCTTACTTGCCATGTGACCTGGGCTAGGTCATTTAACCTCTCTGGGTCTCAGTTTCCCTGTCTTTAAAATGGGGATGATATAGGCCAGGTGCAGTGACTCACGCCTGTAATCCCAGCACTTTGGGAGGCCAAAGTGGGTGGATCACCTGAGGTCAGGAGTTTGAGACCAGCCTGGTCAACATGGTGAAACCCTGTCTCTATGAAAAATACAAACATTAGCCAGGTGTGGTGGTGCACGCCTGTAATTCCAGCTACTTGGGAGGCTGAGGCAGGAGAATAGCTTGAATCCAGGAGGCAGAGGGTGCAATGAGCGAGGATCATACCATTGCACTACAGCCTGGGCAACAAGAGCAAAACTCAATCTAAAAAAAAAAAAAAATGGGGATGATACTAACAGCACTAGGGGTTCTCGAGAAAAGGAAGCCAGTGCATCACCTGGGAAGCTCTGGGGATGGTGGCAGTACACAGTGAGTGTTAGTGTTTTCTATTATGAGTGTGTCCAGTCTCCTCCGCTAGGAGCAGAACAGCCCACCTGAGTCAGGCTGTTCTGGTGGGTGGCTCACGCCTGTAATCCCAGCACTTTGGGAGGCCGAGGCGGGTGGATCACGAGGTCAAGAGATCGAGACCATCCTGGTCAACATGGTGAAACCCCGTCTCTATTAAAAATACAAAAAATTAGCTGGGCATGGTGGCGCGTGCCTGTAATCCCAGCTACTCAGGAGGCTGAGGCAGGAAAATTGCCTGAACCCAGGAGGCGGAGGTTGCGGTGAGCCGAGATCGCGCCATTGCACTCCAGCCTGGGTAACAAGAGCGAAACTCCGTCTCAAAAAAAAAAAAAAAAAAAAGAACAGCCCACCTGGACGTCACCCAGCAACACACTGGATCCAGAGGGGCCTCTGCAGCCCCCACTCTCATTGGGCCCCAGGTTCCACTCCACGCCCCCACCCAGACCCACGCCCACACCGCCTCACCGATGGGCATCAGTTCCATAACGAGCTTGGGGTAGGCGATGTTGGAGCAGCCGACCTCGGCCCCGCAGGCCCGCAGGCACTCCGATGGCACCACGCAGCCCACGTCATCTGCGCGAGAGAGGGACACTTGGTGTCTCTCCCCATAGATATGGGCACCTGGGTGGGCAAGACAGGGCTGGGGCCCAGACCTGCTCTGTCAATACCTCTGGCCTGTTACCACTTGGCCCTGGGCCTCAGTTTCCCAATCTGAGCCACGAGGAGGGCGTGGCCTCTGAAAACCCTTTTCCCACCTGCGGCTCTCCATCCTAACCTTCTCCCTGATCCCACTTCCCCAGGCCGGGGGCTCACCTGTGTTGGTCCTGCTGTGTGAGGTCTGCCATTAGAGTCTATCTGGGCATGAGCCTCCCTTCCCCAACTTGCCCCCAGCCTTTCTCCCCAAAGGGGAAATGGAGGCTAGAGACGGGAGAGGCCAGCGGGATGGGCCCTGCCCCAGGCACTCCACCTGTCCTCTGGGCTTTGTGTTCACTCAGAGATCAGTCGACAAGTTGTGTCCAGGGGCAGCCAGCTTGAGCGTGCTGTCGCCCGGCTTCGACTCATGCAGCAGGACCATGGTGAAAGCCCACGTGCTGGCAAGGCCTGCCGCTCCAGCTTCCTGGCTGTAGGACAGGGGTCAGAGCCCGTCCATACCCCTGTCTCCGACTCTGGGGTCCACGCTTTACACCAGGCTATTTCCTGCAGCAGCGAGCTGAGCCGATGCCCAGGACTCTCCAGTCACTCAGCCTCTCCACAGTCTGCAAGACCCTGGGTGACCCAGACCCTTAGCCCTCCCCGCACGTCTGTCCTCGCTCCTGCCTAAGGCCTCCCCAGCGACTGCCTCCTTCCTGCCTTTGGGTCTGTCTTCCGTGCCCCACTCTCCATCTGTCCCCTCTTCATTGCTTTCGCTCTTCCCTTGTCATCCCAGGGACATGTTTACTCAGTTCTTGCCTCTTCCCTGTGGCAGGTGAGTCCCGAGAGGATAAGATTTGCCTTGTGCTGTCTCCCCCATGGCTGGGGTGCTGCACACGGCTCATCTGCTGAATGAATGAAGGACTCATGAATTTCCCAGGCTCAGGCCAGATCCCGGCTGAACCCTAAATCCACGCATCCCTTGGCCTCCTGCCCTGTGTGGGGGCAGAACCCCAACCTGCATCCACAGCCCTGAGGTATGGGGCTCCCTCACTGCTCTGCTCAGTGAGATTTTGCTGGTGTTGGCAGTCTTAAGGCAGACTTTAGCCTAGCAATATGTAAGGATGGAAGGAGTTGACCCACATTCACTTTTTCCTCCTGTAAAAGACTTTCTAGGGCTGGGTGGGGTGGCTCATGCCTGTAATCCCAGCACTTTGGGAGGCTGAGGTGGGTAGATCATGCGGTCAGGAGATGGAGACCATCCTGGCCAACATGGTGAAACCCCATCTCTACTGAAAATACAAAGTTAGCCAGGTGTGGTGGCACATGCCTGTAATCACAGCTACTTGGGAGGCTGAGGCGGGAGAATCCCTTGAACCTGGGAAGTGGAGGTTGTAGTGAGCCGAGATAATACCATTGCACTCCAGATTGGGGAACAAGAGTGAAACTCTATCTCAAAAAAAAAAAAAAAAGTCTTTATAGAAACCTTTGGCCCCTGCCCCAGGGGTTTTCAGCAGGGCCCAGAGTGCAGAGCTAAGAGCTAAGCAAGTGATGATGATTACGGGAAGTCAAGACACAGCTGACGGGCGCGCTGCGTTGGCCTGTGAGGGGCACACAGAGGTACCACACAGCCCCAGCCTGGCGGCCGGCATTGACATTTCTGTGACTTGGGGCTCCTTGTGCAGACTGCCCCTTCCAAAGCCCCTTTCCGATATGTCCCTTCTTAGATGCCCAGCCCATGGGGAAGGGCAGGTCTCAGACCCCTTCCTCCAGGCCAGCTGGGCTGGGGCAGTGTCCTCTACTCTGGCACCCTTGACCAGGTCCCAGTCTCCAGCCCAGCTGGTCTGAGCTACAGGCTTCCTGGACACCTGGTCCCAGTCATCCCCCTAGGCACTTCCCTGCCTCCTCCAATCAGCCCCCCGGGCCCATGGCTTCTCCCCACCCCCTCTGGGGCCCGCCCTGCCCAGTCCCACGCTCCTCCCAGCCTCCTGTCCATCCCCTCTACACTTGGGAATCACAGCTCTCAGCAGATCACTTATTTCTCAGGACCCTCCTCCCTGCCCCCACCTCTCAGCCTATGGCATCCTGGGGGGAAAAAAATCCTTTCTATGGCATTTGAGGCCCTTGACAATTGGTCCCAGAACCTCCCAGCACGCGCACCAGCCGCCCTGACCTGCCCGTATTTTCTCACGCAGGCCCAGCCCTTGGACGCCTCCCGCCTTGGCAGATGCAGTCCCTCCTCCCAGAGCACCACTGCCCGTCTGACACCCACCTCCACCCTTGTTTACCTCCCTTTTCAAGGCCCATTGCAAAGGGCTTGTCCTCTGAGGCCGTCCCTGACTCTCCCAACCCCCCAGGCAGTAGCAGCTTCCTCCCAAGGGCTCCTAAGGCGAAAGATTGAATCACAGTTGTTTGTTTACATAGTCTACCTTCCCCACCAGGATGGAAGCTCCCCTAGGGCAGACACTGGGTTTGAATCATCTCCAAGACACGGGGGTATCGCCTGCCCCCGTCCAGGGCCCGACCCAGAAGAGACTTCCTGGCAACACTGGTTGAATGAATGAATAAGTGACTGCACAGTGAGGAGGAGGGAGAAAAGGCACAGGAGGAGAGGAGGATCGGAGAAGTGATCCCAGAAAGAGCCACGAAGAGTTCAGGCACTGTTTGATCCAGCTGCCCAACCCCTCCACCTCCACCTCCATTAGTTTTGCAGGACCAGAAAGGACATAACTTGCCTGGGGGACATAGTCAGATCCAAGACAGAGCTGGGGGCCCCATGGCAGAATTCTGGGGGCACTGGAGTCCAGGATTCAGAGGACAGGTAATGGGCCACTCCTGATGGGCTTTGAGCCTGGGGAGGCTGAATGGGATTCAGAGGACCCAGCCCTTTTGGGAGAGACAGGTGAGGCATCGCAGCCATATAATGGCTCAGAAAGCCCGAGTCAGGAGATTCTTTGTGTTTCTTCAGCCCGTTCCAGCTCTCCGCATGGGAAACCGCCCAGAGTACCACTGGTTTGACCAAGTGTCTGTGCTGAGCAAGAGGGAAGAACAACCTCTCCTTTATGAGAACAGTGGCGGTGGTGTCACCATTGAAACACAGTCCCCCAGGTGCCGACTCCAGAGTAAGCAGCCCCGGGGAGGCGTGGTGGGCGGGGGGGGGGTGCGTGAGAGTTGGGGAGCTGGCAGGGGTTTATGACTTTGCCAGGGTGCTGGCTTCTGCAGGCCTGGGAGCTTCCCACTGGGCCCCACGTTTGCATCAGCACCCTGCCCCGCCCCACCCCATCCAGCCAAGGCCCACACCAGAACCTGACACTTGCCCCTCCTCGCCATCTCCCTCCCCATGGCCAGTGTCCAGTCCTGCTTGGTTACTGGGGGAGCTACAGCCCCTCCTCGCTGTGCCTCCTAATCTACTCCCCCTGCAAGCAAGCCAAGGGAACCTCTAAAAGCACCAGTCCGCCCACGATCCTCCCTCCTCTCAGCCCCTGCGGGGGGATCACAGGCTCTAATCACGGCCTCCCACGCCCCTTGCTGTGGCCACCTTGCTCAGCCACCCTCTCCCTGACTAATTTCACCCAGACTTCCAGCACCCCCCAGGCTCTCCTGGACACCTCTGTGTCTCTATGTTTGCTGTTCCTTCTCCCTGGAACACCCTTCCCCGCTTCCACCCTTCCCTGGGTTTATCCCAGGGAACTCATACGCATTCCTCTCAATTCATATGGGCATCTGTGCTCATCAGGCTTTGGGGCTATATCCTCCACAGCACCAATAACTCTATGACCTGTGACTGTCCCGCCTCCAGCCCCCCAATGCCAGACTATGACTGTGGGGCCTCAGGGAAAAGTCTGGGTCTCAACAGTGCTTAGCACAAGCAATTACATGATGGCCTCTGCCAGTATCTGTTAAATGAGTGAATGATTCTCCCCCAAGGAGGTCACTGGACATAATCCCTTGAGGAGTAATCAAGTTGCTCTCCCGCAGCAACCTCGATTTGTATCCGAGTTACGAAACCAAAATATTTAAAATTTTAAAAGTAAAAAAGTGGCCAGGCACGGTGGCTCAAGCCTGTAATCCCAGCACTTTGGGAGGCTGAGGTGGGCAGATCACGAGGTCAAGAGATTGAGACCATCCTGGTCAACATGATGAAACCCTGTCTCTACTAAAAATACAAAAAAAAATTAGCTGGGCATGGTGGCGTGTGCCTGTAATCCCAGCTACTCAGGAGGCTGAGGCAGGAGAATTGCCTGAACCCAGGAGATGGAGGTTTCGGTGAGCAGAGATCGCGCCATTGGACTCCAGCCTGGGTAACAAGAGCGAAACTCCATCTGAATTAAAAAAAAAAAAAGTAAAAACGTAAAAAAGTGATCTAAAATAAAAATAACTAAAAAAACAAGTTGCTCTCCGCTCCCTATCCAGGCCCGGCCCATCCCCAGGAGCCAGTCCAGACACTGCCACTGCAGAAGGGAGCAGGAGAAAGGCTCCAGTTTGGGCCGGGCGCGGTGGCTCAAGCCTGTAATCCCAGCACTTTGGGAGGCCGAGGCGGGTGGATCACAAGGTCGAGAGATCGAGACCATCCTGGTCAACATGCTGAAACCCCGTCTCTACTAGAAATACAAAAAATTAGCTGGGCATGGTGGCACGTGCCTGTAATCCCAGCTACTCAGGAGGCTGAGGCAGGAGAATTGCTTGAACCCAGGAGGCGGAGGTTGCGGTGAGCCGAGATCGTGCCATTGCACTCCAGCCTGGGTAACAAGAGCGAAACTCCATCTCAAAAAAAAAAAAAAAAAAAAAGAAAAGAAAAGAAAAGAAAAGAAAGGCTCCAGTTCTCAGCCAGGCAGAGTGGCTCACGTCTATAATCCCAACACTTTGGGAGGCTGAGACAGAAGTTGTTTGGGGCCAGGAGTTCAAGATCAACCTTACCAATATAGGGAGAACCAATCTTGATTAAAAAACAAAGCCTGACAAAACGTTTCTACCAAAAAATTTTAAAAATT